ATATATATATATATATATATATATATACGTTTAATTTTATAAATACGTTTTGTTATATATATATATATATACACGTTGACTTTTGTTGACCGGGTCGGGCCGGGCCGATCCTATAACCGGTTACATAACCGGTTCCGGTCTTAACCGGTCTCGGTCCTAGAAAACATTAAAATCCATAACCGGTTCATAACCGGCGGTCCGTAACCGGTCCATACCGGTCCCGGGCCGGTTCCGGTACCGGTTCCGATCCTCCGGCGGTTACGGGCCGGGCCGGGCCCATTTGGCCATCTCTAGTGCACACACACATATTGCGAAAGTTTTTGAAAATGGGACAACACATATTTATTATACTCAATCATATATCATCATCTAGTTTATCACAAGTTGTACTAAATAAGAGCGCTGACAACCTTTGGTGCAACCTAGGTCTCGGTCCAAGTTTTAATCAGACAACGTCAGGTCCTCCTCATGTGTATTAACGCATATAATAAGAGCGTTATCATGTTTTAGTAAAATAAATGCTCTCTCGTTTGAACATCTACACACATACATATATGTATATATACATACATAGGGTTGGGTTCACAGTTACAATAGATGCAAGTTCAATATTTTCAATTAAAAAACCGCTTATCATTAATCCAACGGTTAAGATTGGGGTTGCAAGAGTTGTAAAATTTACATGGATTGCAACTGAAGTGATCATAGCCTTTCATCTAATCAAGATTTGAGAAGTAGTAAGTATTTGAGAAATAGAGAAATGATCATTGTCTTTCATTTGGTCAATATTTATGGCTTTGATGGTAAAACACTGGATATTCATCGCATGATATGCGGAAGATAAAAGGGTAGTTTTGTAACTTTTACAATAGGCGGCAAAACAAGTGCATGTGTGAACCCGTGTAATTCACATATAAATTATTTAACTGATGAACATGTGTGATTAACATTTGTACTAATTAAGTGATTAACATATGTACCTGTGTGATTCACATATCATCTAATTAACTGATTCACATATGAACCAGCATGATCAACATATGATCTAATTAATTGATTCACATATGAATTAATTAATTGATTCACATATGAATTATGGGTTCACATATGCACTTGTTTGCCGCCTACTTTTAAAAGTTACAAAAAACCACCCTTTATTTTTCGTTTGACCAGTCAAAACCGCAAATCTTGGCCAATTAAAGTCACAATCTTTGACCAGTCAAAGCTGCAATTCTTGACCAATCTTGACCAGATGAAGGGCTAGAATCACTTCATTACTACTCAAATATTTACCACTTCTCAAATGAATCTCTCCCTATGTATATATGGTTGGGTTCCGTTGATAAAGAGAGTTAATGTGAGAAGTGTAAGAACGGATCTCCACCCTTAGATGCATATTAGGATGTGATGCACCAACATGAGATGCATCGAGATGCATCAAATCAATCTCATATCAAACGCGATTATGAGTGGGTTTGAAATTAAAGTTGATCAAGAGTCCAGGTCCCTTCTTACGCTTCTCACCAACTCTCCTTCTCACACGATCAGTTGCCAATATATATAGGGGCAGGTTGAAACGAGAAGTTAAATATTTTACAGAAAATTTCAAAATCATATATGATTACAAGCATGATACATAAGCTTAATGATATAGATTAAACAAATGTTGCATTGACAACACATAGACGTTTAATAATATATGAGTAAACACAACCAAAGAAGTGTAATCATATGATATTGAAACTTCGCGGCTTTTTGCAAAATGTTTAACTTCTCACATGATCCTTCATATATCTCTCTCTCTCTCTCTCTCTCTCTCTCTCTCTATATATATATATATATATATATATATATACACACACATGAAGTTTCATGTGAGAATAGGAGTTAAGTTGAGAATGGTAAGAAGGGATCTGGACCTTGATTGCTTTTAATCTTACCTCCGCCCATGAATTACGTTTATTGCATAATTGATCTGGTGCATCTTAGTGCACCACATTAGTGTTGATTTTCAATTAAATTGATCCAAGGGTGGAGATATCTCTTAGATCCCGTTTGGTTTGCATGAATGAGATGGATTTGGGGGGATTTGCATTTCATTTACAATTTCATGTTTAGTTTGTTGGATTGTCCAGATTTGAAATCTTAAGATTTAATTGAAATCCTACAAACATTGGATTTTGAAATCCTTAAGATGTGCTCGGAATTTCACAAGATTTCGTAGGATTGTATGAAATAAGGTTTTAAAAAATGTTAAAAACATTTGTTTTGTAATAATCGATTATAGAAAAGTAATTTAATTATTTTTATATTCTTTTATAAAAAAAATTATAAATAACGTGATCCAATTTCATTCCAAATCCTACAAACCAAGTACACTAATGATTTCAAATCCATTCCGGTCCAAATCACTCCATGAAATCCAAATCCCTAAAAAACGATCATGCAAAACAAATGGATCCTTACTCTTTTCACCATAACTTTCCTTTTCACCGGAACGCAAACATATATATATATATATATATATATGTGTGTGTGTGTGTGTGTGTGTGTGTGTGTGTGTGTATAAACAAATGATCGTGTGAGAATGAGAGTTAAAGTGAGAAGTGTAATAAGGGATCTTGATCACCTTTAATCTCAACTCACCCATGAATCACGCTTGATACGTGGATTGATCTGATACATCTTGGTATATCT